AATTGCAGTACAAATAAATAAACACCTTTAGATCTGGGAAGGTTGACACCAGTGCAGCGATGTGGTGGCACAGTGCTGAGAGAGGACAGGGCAGCAGGGGAGCAGCACAGAACCAGACTAGTCAGGGAGTGGTGAGATAAAAGATGATTTACGTTTCTGTGTGAAGACTGAAATTTCAGTCTTGAAAGCTTCAAGTGATTTTGGCTTTTTTTTAATTTTTTTTTTCTTTTTCTTTTCTTTCTTTCTTTCTTTTTTTTTTTTTTTTAATCTACACTCCCTCTAAAACTGGTTCAGCTGAATGGGCAAGTATGTGACTTTAATGAGATTCCTGAAGTCTTAGTAAGAGCTGTGGTTAAAGCCTGTCTGCCAGAAGCAGATGGATAGCAGGACGTTCTGATCCATCTCCTGATGCTGTCAGCAGCAGCAGCTCCATGGCACACAAGCAGAGGGCAGGGATTCCCCCTGGAGCAGCACATGGAAAGCCTCCTTCCTGGGTGTGCTGCTTTTGGCTGGAGTGAAGTTAATTTTCGTCATAGTAGCTGGTAGGGGGCTGTGTTTTGGATTAGTGCTGAAAACAGCGCTGATAACTCTGGGATATTTTGGTTATTTCCCAGCAGGGCTCACACAGTCAAGGCCTTTCCTGCCTCTCGCCCCACCCTGCCAGGGAATGGGCTGGGGGTGCAGGAGGAGCTGGGAATGGACACAGCTGGGCCAAAGGGTACCCCAGAGCTGATGTTGTGCCCAGCAGCACCTGCTGGGGCCAGCAGCAGGAGGAGGAGGAAGAGGGGTTAAGCACAACACTGGGCAGTGCATCTCTACTGGCTCCTGAAGCAGAGAGACTCTACTTCAGTGAGCATCCTTCACATCTGGAGTAAGTGCCTTGTGTCAGAGAAAGCAGTAATTGTTTCGGGATGCACTGGACACTGCGAGTCATTCAAAGCAAGCACTGAACTGCAGTCAAGCTGCAAGAGTAAACAGGAACTCAAAAGAAGCTCCTGATCACTAGAGGAGGAATGTATGTCCAGCTCTCCCCAGAGCAGAAGAAATCAGACAAGTTGCAGAAATGAGGAACACTGGAGTTATGTGGAAGTGATGTTTCCTTTCACTCGATAAAGATCTGGCTCACATCTGGGGACATCCCGAGTTTTTAAGAAACAATAAGGGTAGGACAAGGAATTTGCATGAGGAACCCTCCCTTTCTCATTTATCAGAGCTGTCTTCCAGCGAGGGTTCAACCCTTTTCAGGCTCTGCCAAATCTTTGCAAAGGATCTCATGGACATGACCTCCCTTTCTTGGAGTCCTGCAGCTTCCCTGCAGCAAAAATGGCAGGGACGGTGCTGGGAAACCAGTGATAGCTCTCCAACTGCTTGGCTGCACCTTTGGAAACTGGATGTGTAAATTTATGCTTCGTGCACACTTGTCACCTCTGAGAAGAGAACGAAGGCAAACACAGGTACAAATTTCAGGCAGGCAGCCAGCACAGTAGACAGTTGCCTCAGGCAGCAGACTGTTGAATGCAGCAGAATGCCAAGGCTTTAGGAAGAGGAAGGCTTGCTGCGCTGCTCTGCCCTCTAAGTGGCATTAGACCTTTTATCTAAGGGTTGAGATTCATGTCCTGTTTTCAGGCAACAGCTCCTTACTTGGCCCAGGTGATCCTTGCTCTGGGTGCAAGCATCTGCAGTGCTCGAGCATGTTCTCTTCTGCTGTTTGAGTGATCCATGCCCACTGGAAGGGGTGGGATGGGACCTTTTCCCACAGGAGTTACAGCAACCTGTGCTTTCGGAGTTCTTCCTCCTGCTCCTTCATCCCCTAGAGTAGCAGGAGTGGTCTGAGCTGGTGTGAGTGGGCTGCTGCAGGGGAAGGATGGTTTGGGGTGAAGGTGGGAGTCACCTGGATGGGGAAGGATGGGCAGGATGATGGCCAGGAGGGCTGCTCCACCTGTACTGAAGTTGGGCTGTCCTACCTGGTGCTTCACCAGCTCCATCCATCCCAGCCCACGGCAGCCCCGCTTCACCCCACCTCTGATCCTCACAAAATGTCCCTGATGTCTGCCACCCAGCCCTGCTTGGGCAAACAACCTCACAAAGCTGTTTGATCCAGCCCTGCAGTCGGGCTCAAAAGATAACCCAAGTTTTTTGTTTATAAAATCAAAACCTCTCATTCGGGATTTTGGTGGCAAGTAGAAACAGGCACAAGAGGGGAGGACCGCATTCTTCAGACCACCAGCCAAGAGCTTTTCAGCTTTTAGTGTGGAAGTTGCTGGCTGAGGCTGAATCCCTGCAGCAGTGCCTCACCTGCTGTTATCACTTTATCTGAAGTCATAAACACAGCCAGTGAAGAAATTATTTCCAGCACCTCAAAAAGGACTCGCTTCCATAATTCATGTATGAGCTGAATGGCAGTTGCTCTCACCAGCAGCAGATTTTAGGTAGGATTCAGAGTTTGAGACCTCTCCTGCTGAAGGAACTGCTTTAGTTGCCACCTTAGAGAGGATATTAGGCTGGCTGGATAAGCCATCTTATCCCGTACAGCAATACTTGGGTCCCGTGTTTCAAAACAAGATCGCAAGCGCTTCTCGTGCTCATTGGCAGTCAGGCTGCTACCAGCAGTATTCATAACACTTCACTGTTGTTAATCATCGTCTGCCTGTGCATATTAATGCTTGAAACGAGGTATTTAATTAGTGCCATGTCTTTCTGGAGCAAGTTTCACGTGAGCATCTCGCAGGCTTTCCGGGCTGGGAAGGTTTTTGTTCCCCGCAGGCCGCGGTGCTGCCGGTGGGCCGGCGGTGCGTGCTGCCGTGTCCTGGCCGCCCCGTGAGCGCTGCACGTGTGCTCAGAGAAGCTCACACTGCCATTGACATCACCTGGATTTGTGGAACTGCCTCAGCAGCTGCTGCCGTCTCACATTCCTGGCTGGGAGAGGCAGCCGGGCTCCTTGCCACGGTTTACTCCTTCCTCAGAATCCGCAGGGTGAGGGCAAAGCTTGGAGATGCACTTCTCCCATCGTGTCATCTATTTACATGGCACATGCCTTGCGCGTGTGGGAGACAGCCAGGGCTTTTATTTTTCCTCCCCTGCCCTACTTCTTCTTTCTGGCTGTGATGAGATGGAAAGGTGGGACGCTCTCCTCTCTGCCAGCGAAAAGGTTTTCTGTATCTGAGGCTGGCTTGGAAATTCTTTAGGTGACATCACACCATGTCTGTGCAGACTCATTGTTTGTCATGGAAAAGCCATTCATCCATACACAACTTCCTTCCTCCCCAGACTCGGGGAGATAAACTTTCCATTCTGTCTATTCCCTATAGAAACAGACCCAAAACACGTATGCGTGGCTACACACACACACACACCTCGCCACCGCTCCGTCACGCTCGGGGCTGGGGGAGGAGGAGAAGGGAGGATAGAGAAGATGTGAATAAAGTCACCCTGTTTTCTTCAGACGTGGATCCCGCTGTGCCCGAGCAGTAAAACTCCCCTCCCGCTGCGGTGCCGGGTCACACAAGGCTTTTTTGTCCCGAGGCTAATTCTGGCACTTGCAGCCCCACATCTGCCTGCCAGGTGAGATGGGCCACCAGCTGCAGGTACAGCACATCTGGATGGGGGAGGAAGCCAAGCGTGCTGCAAACAAACACAGCAAGTCCACCGTGGCGGGTGCAAGGAATTCGATAAAAAATATACTTCAGCAGTCTGAGCTGCCGGGGCTGGTGATTCATGTCTCGGGTGCTGCTGGTGAGGCAGACGGCAAGGCTGGGTACCCGGGTACCCCCTGTTCCCCCTGTACCCCACAGCCTGGGGGGATCTGCAGGCTCAGCCTGCCTTTGGGGACCCGCTGCTGCAGGGGCAGGGCTGGGGGCACGCCAGGCCTGCTGAGGAGGCTGGGGTGGGCATTTTTCCATGGAGGAGAGGTGGGAACCGTGTGGAGCAGGGTGGGACGGGACAGCGGGAAGCCTTGTGGAGATGGAGGCAGCAGTGGTGGTGTGCTAAGGTGGTTGTTTCCCTGCACGTGAGTCAGGCAGGGTGAGAGGAGCACCTCTCAGGTCAGAAATACCTGCACGGTGCGGGATGCCCGCATTTGCTTTCTGCCCGTGTCCGGGACAGGGCTGAGGAGCTGCCCGCTTGCCCTGCCTTTGAGGTTCGCGGCCATTCCAGCGGAGAAGGGAGTTTGGACAAGGGGAGCCTTTGAAGCTTTTCTCCTGTCCACCTCCCCTGCCCGTAAAGCCATTAGGCTCTGGTGCCAGCCCTATCCGCACTCGCGGCTGGCGGCCCGGCCGAGCCTCGCAGACCCCCCCGGCCGGGGCACGGGGCCGTGGGGCCCTTGGGGAGGCGATTCTGGGCAGCGGGCAGCATTTCCGAGCCGCCTCTGCACTACAAAGGCAGCGGGGCTTTGATGCTCCCGCACACCTGCGGCCGCGGGGCTCCGGGCCGTGAGCTCCGGGGAGCGCTCCCGACGGCCGGGAGGGCGAGAGCCCCTGTCCCGGGAGGCTCGGGAACCTCGGTCCCTGTCCCGGGAGGCTCGGGAACCTCGGTCCCTGTCCCGGGAGGCTCGGGAACCTCGGTCCCTGTCCCGGGAGAATCGGGAACCTCGCTCCCTGTCCCGGGAGGCTCGGGAACCTCGGTCCCTGCCCCGGGAGGCTCGGGAACCTCGCTCCCTGTCCCGGGAGGCTCGGGAACCTCGGTCCCTGTCCCGGGAGGCTCGGGAACCTCGCTCCCTGTCCCGGGAGGCTCGGGAACCTCGGTCCCTGTCCCGGGAGGCTCGGGAACCTCGCTCCCTGTCCCGGGAGGCTCGGGCAGCGCGGTCCCTGCCCGGGGCCGGGGGCGGGAGGGAGGCAGGGCCGCCGCCGGAGCCCCCGGGAGGCGGCGGCCGGGGGAGGGTCCTGCGGGGTGGGAGG